GCACGAGGCGGCTCAGGGTGAGATCAGCGTGCACGAGCCTTTCTCCAGCTTCCTGCCTTTGGACAGCGAGGCAACTTGCTTCATCAGCTCCCGGTTCTTCGCCTGCAGAGACGGGAGGAAAACACACCAGAAATAATCTGTATGATTCTCTATGTCTCAATATCAACACAAGCTCTTCAGCAGCCTGTAGTTGGACCTTAACACTGGGCGTCTTCATGATCAATAAACACACACACTGGACAGACAGACATAATCACATGACTGTGAATCCTCTGTAGGCCATGATTTTGTCTCCCTGACACGCCCAAGCCTGTTCTGACACGTCGGCTCAAATCGGATTTCCAAGATAGGAAAACAAAAGGAGAAAAACAGACCATTGCTACCGCTCTGCCCACTGCTTCAAGGAATTACAGTGGTCCGGAAGTTCACTGGTGTGTGAAAATTATTTTTTTAATAAAATGGATGAATGGTGCGTTATAGATTCTGTGAACTGGGATAAGGGAGGGGGCCGTCACCCGGGTCCCATCTTAGGGGCCCCCATGATTATACTTGGCCAGGCACTGGTTTGGTTATTCTGCTTGACATCAATACCAAGGAAAATACTGAGGAGGAACCAGACGTAGCTGGACACACGAGCACGAGCTTTCCCAGCTCGTCTGCCCCCCAGGGAAGATGGCAGCCCCCAGTGTGCGTCCCTCCTCACTGGCCACTCACCTGCTGCTGCTCCATGGCCTCCTTATGCATTTTCTCCATGTTGTTCATCTTCAACCTCATGTTGTTCTCCTGGTACTGGAAGTCTGCCTTCAGCTCAGTCAGCTGGAGAAGAACATCCCAAGTATGAAACCAGTGTGGTACAGGGTTTCAGGACATTACCAGGATCTTCAGACTAACCTTTCTCTCCTTCTCTAGTATCATCTGGTCTCTTTGTTGCAGCAACCTCTTCAATGACATCACTTCCTCCTTCAGTTGGCTGATTAGAATGAAATGGTCTGTTCCACCCGAGTCCACTGATTGGCTAATGGAACTACTGTACATCCAATCAGGAGATCGGGAGAAAGTCAGCATTTCCTCCCCCATATCTTTCCATATGCACATTGATTTAGTGTCACTTTAGGACGGAACATGGCGGTGATATATAATACCTGTCCCCACTGGACGGCTTTATCTCTAGTTTGGGTCTCTTCTTTGGGGTTTCATTCTGGATCGAGGATGACTTATGGCTGAACATAGGGACAAGATAAATGTAATACAATGTATTAAGAGAGTGATGTAAAGCTCAGAACCAGCACCAGTTCCAAAAGAGGTGCGGCTGAGGCCCAGTCACGTCAGAACTGGGCTAAAAGCGTATGTGAAAAGCAGGCCAGGCTTACCGCTGTTTCCAGTGTCCCTGCTCCTGTTCTGGGCTCATGCTTCCCAACCTGTGGGACAGCGAGGGGGTTATTCTGCTTCAGTCTGACCAAACGGCGAACAGCGAGGGGGTTATTCTGCTTCAGTCTGACCAAACGGCGAACAGCGAGGGGGTTATTCTGCTTCAGTCTGACCAAACCGCAAACAGCAAACTCCATTCGGGCCTCTGGCTTATTTGCTGGTGGCTGGCAGCACTGCATCACGGCTTCACAAATACAAGATATTCATTAAAACCTTTTATCATATTTATCAATGGGAGGGAGGGGGCAATGAGTGGCTAAACATGGTAGGACTGAGCCTGTGGTCTGAAGGTTGCTGGTTAAGATCCCACAGCCGGAAGAGTGATTTCTCCATTGGGCCCTCGAGCAAAGCCCTCAGCCCCCACTGCTCTAGGAGGCTGACCTTCCCCTGATGTACACCATCAGGACAAAAAAGGTACCAGTTTGTACCTTTGCTTGTCACTGGGGCTGTACCCTCAAGGGTCTGCCAATTGTACCCTTAGCTGTAGGTAAATTTACCTTTTAACCTAACTTAGAGTCCATTCCTGTAACATGAGGAACATCCCCAAGATATGAATGGTACAAAAATGTTCCAGAGTCCATTTCTGTACCTTAAAAGGTACAAATACCTACAACTATAGGGTACAATTGGCAGGCCCTTGAGGGTACAGCCCCAGTGCCAAGCAAAGGTACAAACTGGTACCATTTTTCTGACAGTGTACTCTCACATATAAAAGCTGGTCTCCAACATCAGGTGCCTACTTGTGGGAGCCGCCGTGATGCTGGTGCTCATGGCGGTGCTGGTGATGACGGCGGTGCTGTTTGCTCCTGGGCTCCTTCTCACTCAGGGAGGAGGTGTTGGCCCGCGAGGAGCCCAGGCCTTTCCGCTGCTCCTTGGCCTTCTGCAGGACGCGGCGGTAGGACAGGGTGCAGAGCCAGCAGAGAAGCTTACCATCCACCTGCGGTGAGAGAGACACACACACTGACTCCCAAAGACCAGCGGCTGAATCGAAACAGCAGAATCTCTTTAAAATGGGGGCAGGGGGTGTTCTCATTCTGGCAAGAAGTCAGAAATGTGTATATAGTAACAGAAGGGGTACATGGAACAGCTTCCCCACCCCCAAAGCCCTTGATTTGCATTTTTAGGTTTATTAATCATGCGCCCTGAAAACCAAACGGGCGCCTGGAGTTTGGGTGGGGCCGCACCTTTCTGCGACCCTCCTCCTTGCGGTCGAAGGCGCACTGCTGGCGGCACTGCTCGCAGGTCTGCGGGGGGCCGTACTTCTTCTCCGAGTTGGCACAGCGTTGACACTTGCTGCCGATGAAGGCGGCGATAACGTTGCAGTACTGACACGGCTTGGGCTGCGCCGACAAACGAGACAAACAACTGGCCGGTCAGGAGGCTGAAGCTGTCAGTAGGAAGGTTCCCGCTAATAGGCCTCCCGCTTCCGATATTCAGCGCTGGATAAAACGCGATTCGGCAACGTAAGTTAGCAATCAAACTATTAAAGGTTTTAAAAAACAAAAACACTTACGGTGCCAAACTGCTTGACATTCTGAGCACACTTCTTACAGATTGTGTTTGTTTTGCTGGTTAAAAAAAAGAAACAGCATTTTACAAACCAGAAACAATGTGTTAATGAACAGCATTAACCCGAATTGACATAAATATACATTACATAAATCAGATATCACCATTACACTTATCCTTTGAAATACTGCCAATACAACTAAATGCCTTCTACCATAGGTACTGGGCTATGTACGTACTACAAGTACTCCTCTGGATGTTCTCAGGACGTTTATCTAAGATTGTGTAGCGTTTAAGGAATGAACTCACCTCTCCTGCTGGAACTCCGACCTGCAATATGTACACTTCACTATGGGGTGGGCTATCCGACACTCCTAGTAAAATACATTTAAGAAATATTAGTCGATGCATGTCGTGGCGAGCAAGATACCAGTTATGACAACTATACTCGCACATACTCATGTATTGAGCCATTCACACGCAAACCCACGCGAAGACAGCAATAACGACGTTATACTCTCACATACTCCTGTATTCACAGACCGCTACGATAATCCGCTAGTCTGATATCAGATATCCAGAACCACACGAACACCGGCTCGTTACGAACGATCCCCGGAGGGTCAGGCTCCCCTCTGGGTGCCGCACAAGGCGCCGGTGAAAATGCGTGGGCAAAACAAAGGAAACATGCCCCGCAATCACGGCCACACGACACACCCTCTCCGGGACAGGAACGCCGCGGCCCGGGCTCCAGAGGCACACCTTACAGAGCTGCTGTCCCTGGGAAAGCTCCTCGAACGGGTAGCGCTGGTTACACTTGGTGCAGGCGTACAGCGCCGGCGTCGCCATCGTCCGCGATCAAACGGGGAGATACGCTGTAGCCAGCCGTAAGCGGGCGGCGAAGCCCGCCACCCCCGATGCCAGAAATAAAACAATCCCGTGTATTTCAAGTATCTCCAAATGCAAGCGGTCAGCTCCACGCATTTGTCACCAACATCCGCACATTCACAAAAAAACCCGACTATATTCTAGGGCAGCGCTCACGAGGAGTTTCGCCTCTTGTCTTTCTTTCCTTTTTTTCTTTTCTTTTTTCGCGTCATCATTCGGACCGGATGCGCACGAACACAAAGGGAGCGGATCGGAGGGCCGCCGGGCGCCGGTGGGCGGGATCCACGACGACGCTTAGCTTTTCGCGGCCTGGCACTCGGCGGAACGGTTATTTTAATAAACACATGTTGGAGTTCACGGTCCCCCGATGCCCGGTATCCCCGGTGCCGCTAAACGCGCCTCCTATATCCCGTTAAATAACCGCAATGAACGACGGCTGCGTTGTAAACGCAAACACCTTCTATTTCTTAATGCCTCACTAAATGCTTGTGATAACTCTGACCATGTTTGTTTTCACAATAAGGGAAACGTATTTAATCCAAGTTACAGTCTCCTAAATAGAAGAAATAAAAGTAAATAATCAGACGCTTTCTACCCCCCCTCCCCCCATTACGTGATGACGAAGCTTGGCTCCTCCCATCTGGAGTGTTAAATCTTATTTTACTTTCTTAGGTTTTATTAAGTTTTGCTGAATACGCAAAACTTTGTGAACGATGCATTTGCAGTATCTGCGCTTCGGGGTGTTTTTTTGTTAATCCTGCGAATTTGATCTGCCCCCGGAGCAGGAGCTCTGGACGTGACGCCGCCTCCTCTCTCGCGGTCCCGCGCGTCCGTGCTTCCTGCAACACGGGATGTGCGCGATGAACGCGGTCCACGATCAAACAGAATAACAGTGCAGCTCCGAAGGATGAAACGACTGCAAAAGCCGGCTGGGACTCAGTGATCCGGCGCTCATCGAGGCCGACTTGGACGGCGTAGTAAAGGTAGATGTAAAGTCGCCTTCCAGTAAGAGGAGTAACGCGCAACCAGCCTTAACAGCCGAGCTGGCGTCCAAATGCGTCTGATCGCAGTTGAAACAGCGTTTAAATAACGCGCTACTTCAATCGTTATGATGACCCGTGTTATGAGCGTTTGGAGGCCGCGCTGGCGGCGGCCCTGCCTGCCACGCTTGGCTTATCTGCCCCCTTTGCTTGTTTGTTACCCACCAAAACGTGTAAATATCAGTGGTGTTTACAAAGCGGGGATCCTGCTCCCTTCCATCAGTCCCAGTACAGACAGTAAGGACTGCCAGCTTACTGACCGCTATTATAATTATATAAATGTTGCGCGACCCCTTTAGAGAAACCAGCGTGCAATGATGGGATCTCTGGCCTGAGCTTCACGACGTGCGGCACTGGTGTGGAAGTGCTATCTAGTGCTAGTGAGCTGGGCTGGCGTGACGGTTAGGATCTCAGCCCTGTTTGCACCGTAGATTGTAACTTTTATTTCTGTCTTTCTTCTGCAGTATAAGCCTGGAGTAGCCATGTCGGACAGCATATCCTTGCCGTCCTACACAGACTATCCTCTCGACCTGCCTTTCCTCAATTCTAACCTGCGCCGGTCCCCCGCGAAGCCCGTCATCGCGTACCCCGAAAGCAGCGGCGCAGGTATGGGTAACACAGGGGTACCTCACAGCACACTGACTTTTACACTGTGTCCAGATTAATTTACTCCAGGTGCAAAGAATGGAGACATCTGGCCAGTTTAAATAGACCACGGCTGTGTATCCAACTAATCTGTTGGATACAGAAGGACAGGGCATGTATAAATGCTCGTGCATGTGGGTCTGGGATCACTTGCCGGTGCTTTCTGTATCTCGGCTGAGAGTCCCGGGTTTGGCTCTCACCCTGCGTGCCCTCGCCATGGCAACATCAAACCTGCTGCTGGTACTGACACCGGATCCTGCGGCTCCTTGGGTAGCGTGCTAACCACACATATGTAAATCTATGCTGGGGGGGGGGGGGTGTCTAGGCATTGTGTCCCAAACAAAAACAGTTCCTTGAGTCCACCCGAGTTGTTCATTGCTGTCCTCTCAGCTGCACCACAAGGTTTTCCAGTTCTGCACCATCAAAATGACATTGTCAGGATGAAATGACATCTCATAATTCTTTTGGCCCTTAAAGATCGTAACGCTTGAGGCAGAATTGGGAAATTAAGGTGAACAGAAGGTGATTTATAAGCACCTTTTTACCCTGGATGTCTCCGTCGCTTGCAGCCATCCTCTCGGCACTGAGGAACCTGCAAGAGAAGATCCGCCGACTGGAGAAGGAGCGGGCAGAGGCAGAGAAGAGGCTGCAGCACCTGAGCAGGGAGGCGTCACGTTCGCGGGGGGTGCCGGAAAGCAGGGCGGAGAACGGCGGCAGAGTGACGAGCCAGGGTGGGTGAGAGCTGCATGGTGTAATCTAGAGTCTGTAACCTCCCAGAAAGATAATGAGTGACCCCTGGTGGAATATGGAAGCTGCTGCAGAAGAGCTTGTGGGATTTTTACCAACACAAATGTTTTAATGGCAGAAAGAAAAATGAGATAACCAATCAGATTGCAGAAGAAGTGGGCTCAAGACACATGATTGATTGATCCCACGTCATAGTTGCTTGTACCCACCTCCTGTACAATCTGATTGGTTATCTCTCTTAACCAATCCTTTTTCTTTCTGCCCTCAGAACATTTTTGTACAAGTAAAACTCCCATGAGCTGCAGGTGAGAGCATCAGGAAAACTGCTAAATGTCTTACAGTACTTTGGTTTTTGTGGTTAATAGGTAACATCATAGACAATTACAGGCTCAAACTGCATAAAAACTTAAATGGTACCTGATCCAAAATGCTAATTTCTAATATTAGTTTGTAGGAATAACTATTTTAAATAGAGTATTAATACTAAACAGTACACTAATAATATTCTTGAGTGTTAACCTGTGTTTGATGTGCCCATGATTGGGTGAGGTGATCATGGAGATGGGCCTCAATTTGGTGACTCGTTTGCTCGACTCTCTCCGGCTGCCCTAGATCTGTCCTCACAGCTCGCCGCTGCAGAGTCACGCTGCAACCTCCTGGAGAAGCAGCTGGAGTACATGAAGAAGCTGGTGAGGAACGCGGAGAGCGAGAGGACAGCCATGCTAAAGGAGCAGGTGGCTTGGAGCCCGGGGAGGGACACGCTGCTGGTCGGGGGAGGTCTCATGGCAGCTGACAGACATTTGCCCTTAAACCCCTCCCCCAGGTATCAATAGAGAAGGAAAAGGCGACCGATCACACTGAAGTTCAGGTCAAGTTTGAGAAGCTGGACCTGCTGGAGCAGGAATACCTGAAGCTGATGAAGACCCAGAGTCTGGCTGAGGTGAGAGAGGATGTTTAGCATTAGCATGTTTCTGACCAAGGTCCAGGCCTGTAGCTTCTGGGTCACCATGTGACTCGTTCATTGCCCCTTCAGTCCAGTCTTATTGGCAGGACAGAACAATAAAACTACTGAACCACTCAAATGGGCAGACTGGCTGATTTCTCTTTCTTTGACACACTTGTAGAGGAAGATTCGTCACCTGGAGCAGAAGCTGAGGGAGGAAGAGCACCAGCGGAAGCTAGTCCAGGACAAAGCCGCGCAGGTAGGTCCTCCTGCCAGCAGAGAGCTTTAGCTGAAACATCTGAGCATGCCACTGTCTGGGCTCCAGCTCATTGTGAAGCTGGGCTCATCTCTGGACAGGTTCTGCAAGGATATCCCTGGCTCTCTGGGTTTAACGCTGTTGTGTCTTCAGTTACAGACGGGCCTGGAAGCTAACCGGATCCTGCTGGAGTCTGTGTCTCCTCGGCCAAGCAAAAGTACAAAAAACAGGAAGAAGAAAACCAAGGTGGATACCGCGCTGAATCAGCCGTACGGCTTTTATTCATTCAGAAATCATGCCGTTATCCTGAAAGCTCAAAAACTTCAGGCCTTGGTTTTTGTTGTTTTTTGTTTCTTACCCAGAAGCCCGTGCAGCATCAGCATCATCCCCATCCACAGCCCCATTACAGACTGTGTCTTGGGGACGTGCCCTTTGTGGCAGGGACGGTAGGGCCTCCACAATAATGTCATCAATAGCTTTTTGGCTGACTTCTTTAAGGCTGGATTCTTAGTCCTCTCCTCCCTCTTTCCAGTCGACGGGTACGAGCCATTCTGTTCGCGCCAATGTCCAGCACGTGCTGCACCTCATGAAGCAGCACAACCGGCAGCTGTGCAACGACCGCGTGCTGAGTGACACGCCAATGGCCGGGAGGTCGTCCCAGGCCAACGGGAGGAAGTCTGCTACCTGTCACTCAAGAAATGGCTCCGCCTCTTCCTCCTCCTCTTCCTGTAGCGAAGAGCTCTCGGAGCTGCTTCTGGCCCTTCAAGATGAGTTCGGCCAGATGAGCTTGTGAGTTATCTGCCTCGGGGTGGGGGCCTTCCTGTATTTATGTCGACGTCTATTCTGACTGGACGGGGCGTTTCGCAGTGAGCACCAGGAGATGGTGAAGCAGATCCAGGACGCCCGTTCCGACCGACTGCGGCAGGACCTGGAGAGGGAGCTGGAGGGCCTGGTGAAGAGGATGGAGAGCAAAGGGGAGCAGATCGGGAAGGTGCGGCGGCACCAGGCGCAGGTGAGGCTAAGAACGTTAGCGTGGAGGGGCGATGGTGCGCCAGTAGGGGAGACGTTTAACCCCCAAAAAGTACAATGAGTGGATTCAACCCCTCGCAGGTGGCGAAACTCTGGAAGGAGACGAGGGGCAGGCGGAGGCGGGACAGCGAGGTCAGGGTGACCACCACAGTGACGACACGGGGGCGGGGCACCGGGGCGGCGAAGGTGAAACCTGGGGAGCGCAGCAGGGACAGCCTGCAGCTGCTCAGGGACATGCGAAGCCTGCAGACGTCACTGCGCAGGGAGCAGATCAGCTGGGACCACTGAGGAGGGGCGGGGCCGTCTGGGACGCGCATTAAGGATGTGACCTTGGCTCTGTTTACATTCCTGCAGGGTGTGGTTATTTTTTGCCCACTTGTTACCGCCAGGGGGCAGTAGCGAGATCAAGGGGGGGGGGTGTATGTTGTGTGTTTTTTTTTTTTTTTTTTTAAACTGCTGGGAAATCTGGGGATTTAGTGAGTTGTAATGGAGGGTGTAAGCTCTGGGGACATCCCCCCCCAGGACGGAGAATTACAAGCTTGTGCTTTTAACACGCCTTATTGTCAGCATCAGCTGAATTTGCATATGTATACTTTTGCATAATTGCTGTCAAAATCGTACCAATAAATATTTATTTTTTACCAGATGCCTCTGAGCAGAGAGCAAAATGGCACAAATTATATTTAGAAGATTCATTAAGTTTCCAAGGTAACGTGCTGGTTAACACGCATCACTACAGTAGTGTTTTTAGAACAAGTGAGTGTTTTATTTGTCAGGGAAATGTTACATAAAAAACTGGTCCAATTCAGAAACCTTCACATCGGCCTTTAAAATCTGCATAAAACTTTCAATAAAAAAATCCTCTAATCCATGAAAGGAAAAAAGACCTTAAAAACCTAAGCGAGAAGAGTTTAGGATAAACAAACACATTTTTATGTTTTGTTTTTGACAGTCTTACCTGATAACACAATAAAATATTAGGGTTACCTTACAGGGATATTAGTGCAGTGGTAAGTGTGAAACTGGACTCGTTACGCCACCCTGTGGTAAAGATGAGCAGTACAACCTAAAGCTCTCTGCCTACAAGGCTCTGCAGAGCAGTTAATGTGCTGACAGGCTGTTAGCGAGAACGGCTAGCGCTTAGTAAACGGTCACCAATAGCGAGAGTGCTGCACTAGCGATGTGCAAAGCTGTCCGGGGAGCTGACAAGGGGCTTCTACAGTGCGGGGGCCTCTGCAGTGAGCTCTGCTAACTGACACACATCAACATTAAAAGCAGGCTGGGGGGGGTCACCCCAATCGGATCTTTAATACAGGCTTATAGGTAATGTGGTTATTACATGGGGGGGGAGGCTTACATGCATAGAGTGCGACACCCCTAAATATTCCGGCCCTACAGAGGGAGAGGAAAGGCCAGTCCCTCGTCACACTGCACGTGCTCTACTGTCACCAGGAGAGGGGACATTACCTAATGCCACAGACAGAGCCAGAGGGCTCGGCCCCCTGTGACCAGCCCCCTTCTCTGACTCGAACCCTTTTCATAGTCCCAGTCTCCGCTTATCCACAAAAGTCCTTCACTGCGCTTCCGTCACTAATGTAAGATTAGATACTTCAGTACGTTACAGTTTATGTGTATATAGATCATTTTTAAAATCAAGTACGTGTATAATGTAGAGGAAGGAGGGGCCGTCGCCCCGTCTCCTCTTGGAGGTATTTGGAGGCGGCAGGTAGAAGCAGCGGTGGGCGGGGCTGGATGGCGGAGGGGCGGAGCCATGGTCCTACCTGGGCTTCGGGCTACAGTTTCATCACGGCGGCGTTCGGCACGAGGGCAGGCAAGCCCTCAGCACATAGCCCCACCCCTCCATTTCCAGCCCACCTTGTCCGTCACACGCAAGTCTGCACTGGTGAGCCTGCGGGAGAGCCCGCCTTCTCCGGGGGGGCGACTGCCACGCGACCGGCCACCTCCCGCTGGAGCTCCTCCACCTTCCGCTGCAGCTCCGCCCGCTTGGCCAGCAGCTCCCGGTAATGCTGATGCAGCGGCTCCTGGACAGAGGAGCAGAGCAGTAAGCAGCCAATCACAGCCCAGACATAGAGTGGGTAAATAAAATATAACTTCTGTCTGAGAGCAACACGCCATTGGCCAGGAGGCCGTCCCAGGCCAATGGGCGGTAGTTCGAATCCCACTTCTACTCGGTGTGTGAGGGTTCCTTCCCGCAGAACCGAGACACGCAGTTAGGCCAGCTGGTACTAAATGAGGGTCAGTGTTTGCTTATATGTGCCCTGCGATGGACTGGCATCCTATCCAGGGGGAATCCCAGCCTTGAGCTCCATGCTGTCTACAGACCACCATCCAGATTAAGCAGTTGGAAGATGGACAGATGGACGGAACAACAAATACTAAGGATTCATGACACGTGAGACGGGATGCGTACCTGAGGCCTCATGCGGGGGTTCCAGCGGATGTAGTACCCGACCCAGAGCTCTAGGTGGCGCATGCTGACTACGGGGTACAGTACATGGTTGGCGTAGTCCACATACAATGGGTTAGTGAACTCCTCATGCTGACTGTTGATGTAGGACCACAAGGAGACTGTCCTCTTCGGCAGGTCCTGGCAAAATTGGGGACACGGGGGGGGCTAAATGATGACATTTCCATTGTACAGCGACGATCAGCAGCGGGGAGGTCAGGGGTGGGCGGGGGTCCCCTACCTCTTCCAGCCTCTGCTGTTCGCTGTTGCATAGGAAGGTTCCAAACAGGCAGCTGTACAGATGGTCCAAGATGGTGATCAGGAAGAACTCGTTGAACTCAAATGCTGCGGGGAACTACAGGGGGTGGGGAGGAATGAGACTGTGGTGAGATGGATTGGGGGGGGGATTGTCCTGCCAGCCAGCACAATCTTCCCAACCTCAAAACATTAAATGCAGAGAGGGTGAGAGGTCAACGGTATCCAGGCAACTGAGGAGACGACCACCAGTACCAAGATACAGGGCCGCATCGCGGGAGGGCGTGGCCAACACAGGCTCCACCCACCTGCCGCGTCATCTGCCACACGCAGTCGATGAACTGCAGGAAGACGGGTGAGCGGTCGGCATCTGTGTGGTTCCTGTCCCCGTGTCCGATCCTCTGTGAGAAGCCGGGAAAAGCGGGACAAACGGTGAAACAATTATGACAGCTTTCACAGGTTCAGCGTATAAACACGTACACTGCCAGCGCAGTGAGAGCCACAAAAACGTACACTGCCAGCGCAGTGAGAGCCACAAAAACGTACACTGCCAGCGCAGTGAGAGCCACATGGGCCGGCCGGGCCGCATACCAGCTGGAACCTGTGTCCGAAGCTGAGCCACTCCTTCTCCACGAGCACCTGGAAGCCCCTGAGTGTGCGGTAGAAGCCGTCCAGCATCAGCATGGCCAGCGAGCTCAGCTGCGCAGTGCGGTCCCAGCCGTCGCTACAGTGCACCACCACTGACGTCTTCCCCGACTCCACCTTGTCCGCGATACGCAGTGCCCCCGCCAGGATCAGCTGGGGAAAACATCACAGGGGGTATGAGAGAGATTAATATTTAATTCATTTATCTGACACTGTTATCTAAAGTGACTTACAGTACAAGGGATACAATTTATATGTGCCCTGTGGGATTTGAACCCACAACCTTCACGTCGTTAGCATAATGCTCTACTTGCCGAGCTACAAAAGGGCCAGTCACACATTTTGAAAACTACACCATCTGTTTCTATTTTACCAAAATATTTGACCCATTCCCTCCCGCTCGTCATTCTCCTCCACTCACCTTGATGTGCTCCAGCCAATGAGTGGACTCAAGGTTGGAGAGCCAATGGGATTCTTCGATGTTGGGGTACACCACCTCCTTCAGCTTGCGCAGAGACTCACGCATCACATGGATGTTGTGGATGTCCAGGAAGACCAGCTCAGCGTTCTGGTAGGCGTCCTCGCTCTCGAAGCCGCCTCCCTTCATCTGCCATGCGGAGAAAACGTACACTACTGTCTTAGGCAGCAAAAAAAGAAAAAAGCCTTTAAATGATCTTCAGGTTGGTGTAAAACTCTGCTATTATACCTGTCAAAGTGTGTCAGCTTTCAAAACCTCTGCTAAAATCACCCCATTATTTCCAGCAACCCAACAAATACAGCCATGTATTTTTTTACTTGACCACCTCGTATAGCTAATCAATCTCATTGACTTTTTTTTAAACCGATTAAGTTAAATTAAGTGAGCTGGTGGTGATATGGAACGGCCGAGGTGCCCCTGAGGAGAGGTTTGGGAGCTGAAGCGGCGTTCATCTAGCCATCCAGCAAGATATCAGTAACTTTTTAGAAAGCAGAAGAAATTACTACTAGTTTTTATTATATTATTCTTAATTCTTGTTGTTCTAATTCTTAATGTTCTAATAAGATATTGTGTTTTTTGTTCCAAGTAAATGTAGAATTACTACCCAGATAAATAGCTTTAAAACTTTAAAGACTTTTACACAGTACTGTACAGGGTCTGACCACACCGCTGACACGCGGAGAGGCGTCGAAAATGGGCTTCCTGACGAAACAAACTCACGCCAGGGGGGAGAAAAACAGCAAGTCAGCTTGAACCAGCCAGCAGCAGGACAGGGGCGGCGGGAAAGCGGAGGACCTTGTTAGCGGCGGCGTTAACGGGGGGCCGCGCGTCGAAGATGAACAGCTTGTGCGACTGGGCGTTGGCGTCCATGATGGCCTGCAGGTGCTTCTCGTCCTCCTTGCTGCGCTTGCCGTTGACCCCCACCATGGGCTGGCTGCAGCGCGTCACCGTCGCCTGCGTCTCGGGGTGGATCCAGGACAGCACCTGTGTGTGCGGGCAGGTCGTCAGACCCAAACTAGCCGCCACATCTCCCGCGTACGCTCAAGACAGGCATCACGTTCGCCGGTTACGGGGATCTGAGATCATTCATCTCGTAATTGCTGACAGTAAAACAAAGATTAAAAGCCAGTCACAGCGTGGTGTCTGTCAGCAGAAAGTCGTTGGTTTAGATCCAGTGGTCAGTAAAATTATTTCACCATCAGGCCTTTGAGCAAGGTCCTTAATCCCAGTTGCTCCATAAACTTTCTAACCATGATTTCTCAAAATAATAATAATTTAAAAATCATAAAACAATTAATACATAAACAAAAAAAAAAACCTCATTTGCAGGTAGCTTGCAAACAGATGCCACAACCCTTGTGAATTGCAGTTCCGCACCCCTGATGTAGGGGGCGCTATGGAGAGAGGATGCATCACTCACCGGAATGCGGCCCTTGGCTCTGAAGGCCGCCACTCTCTTCAGCTCCTCATCGGGGATGTTGGCAGGCACCACCAGGGTGGCGGGGTAAGTCTCGCACACGTCGTAATGCTCGTTCGCCTTCGTTATCCTCCAGCTCTCGTTAGGCAAACCCTGTCAGTGGCAAACACCGCGTCGCGTCAGGAACACAGCAAGACAGACTTTAAAAACGTGAAGATGGAGGAGGGCAGACGGGCCAGCAGGCCGCTACCTGTCTCTTGTACTCTGCCAGAGGGTCGTAGACTTTCCAGCCGTTCTCAGGGAAGGGCTGCCCGTATTCAAAGGCAAACATTCGCTGGAAATGAATGTCCAAAACAATAGTTTTCAGCTACCCTTGGTTGCGCT